TGGTATGCAACGAGAACAAGGAGGAACCAGTAGAACATAGATGGAAGTGGGGGATCGAGGAGATTGCAGTAGTGGACCAGTACACATGCCTCGGAGTAGAGATCGCACATGACTGCTCGTGGAATGCACACATGTCCAAGGTAGGTCTCTTATACACATCTAGATGTGTATAAGAGACAGTTTCCTACCTGTTCGTTGACGTCCAAGATACACTGGAGAGAAGGATCTAGCAGAGCTAAAGTCTCTCTCGCATGGCAATCTCTAGCGAGCAGGTCTTTCGTGGCCAGCTCCTGCGGAATACGCGCATCCGGAAAGCACCANCTCGCAAACCGGCACCTCGATACACGCATCAAATTGACGGTTTTGAAGAGCGTAATCGTACCGCCGCTAGAGTACGCCGGAGAAGTATCGGAAGGAAATAAGAAGCTGGTGAAAGAACTCGAGGCGGCGCAGATGAAAGCATCGAAAATCATCTTAGGATGCTCCAAGCGCACAAGCAATGCAGCCGTCAGGGCAGAATCGGGGATCCAATCCCAACGGTCGGGAAGAGACGCGAGGAAGCTGACATGGCAGAATCGCATGTGCGGGATGAGAGAGGAGATGTTGCCGAGAATTGTATGGGAGGCGAAGTGGGCAAACAAAAAGAGGGGTAGACAACCCACGGAATGGGTCAAGGTTGTAGAGGACGTATGGAAGGGGCTCGACATCGACGAAGATGAAACGCTGGAAACGGAGGGTCTAAAGGGGTTCAAGGAGAAGATATCTGTTGCTTGGGCCAAGAGAGAACAGAATCTAAAGAAGGAAACCAAGGATAAGGAGGGTCTAGAGGTGTACGGAATGTTGAAGGAAGGAATAGGGTTCAGGGTTTACCTACATTGACCAATGGATGCAGGAACAAAGCTTGAGGTCAAATTCAGGATCGGGGACATAGGCCTTCGAGAACGTCGACGAAGGCATAGGACGATAGGCGACGAAAACGACGAGTTCAAATGTGATTGCGGCTTCGAATGGGAAGACCGTGATCATGTAGTCGCGGAATGTCCGNGGAAGACGACGAGTTCAAATGTGATTGCGGCTTCGAATGCGAAGACCGTGTTCATGTAGTCGCGGAATGTCCGTTGTACAAGAAGGAGAGGGAAGTGTACGTGACTGAGCTGGGAAAAATAGATGGAACGTACAGGGAGATGTTTGAGGCATGGAATAGAGAGGAAAGGACGGTAGCTGTAGTGGGGCATAGGAGGTGGGTTGAAAAGGCGGGAAGGGATATCGCCAGGATAGACAGACTAGGGAAGACACTATTGAGCCACCCTTGGCAAAGTAAAAAGGAACGATTGGCCATCGGTGATCGGTCCTGTGGGAACAATGCT